TGCTTTTACAATGGCGGCTCCAGTCTATGTGGCAGTACGCTATGGTTTCGGGCCTTTGGCGGGATGCTCGCATTTCTCTGAGTGACCATCGGGTTCTCGTGGGAGATCTTCAAGGCGTCATTACATTAATGCTTCTGTCTACTTTATCTGCGAACATACTTGCCCGCATAACTGTCAACAGCTGCTTGCGAACACGCTTATCTCCCACCAACGCGAACCGGCTACTCGACTGCAGTTATATCTGCTTGAGAACGGCGTGAATGCTGAGAACGCCAGTTCTTCCGGGGATTTCACTGAGTCTTTCACTCGACCTTTGCATTCGATCCGGTTCTCTGCTCTGCAAACAAGCGTTTTCAGGACAGCAGCCCTACACATCCGTGCTGATGAGAAGGATAGGGTTGGAGAAGTCAATAAGGGAGAGGTCCACGCTGAAATGCATATACGCTTCGTTGTGCTATTTAGCGCCCAGCCACCAACGAACGACAGGTCGGGAATGCCAGTCTTGAACGCATTCGAGGGAGATTTCAGGCGATGAACATTGAATAGCGTTTTATTAGTTCGGTAGTTTATATCGATCATCCGCCACGCCTTACGGTAGGCATTCAGTGTCATAAAGAAAATGTGGGACTGACCTATTGAGAGCAAGTACGCAGCCCTGTTTTACCACCAAGTATGATGGAGAGCGCCTCAGAGATCGCCCTGTTTTGGGTGACGTGAGCCATTATCCTGTCGTGAAGCTATCCTATCAGTTGGAGGAATCGCTTAGAATATACAAATTTCTACATGATTTTTCGGCGACTCCCGCGACTCACTCTGTCGAGGACCTTCGTGAGATCTGCGGCGGTAGTGAATAAACTGGTTCTCATCCCCTATCACTTCCCCAACAGTTACCGATCGGCGAGATTCCTGTCTGTCGTTTCCCTGTGTTATAGAATTCCCCACCGCTTTTCTGGAAGTAGTCCCCTTTCCAAACGCTTGTTCCCGCGATACATTATAACATGGGCGAAAACTTCGCCTGTGACGTCGTGAAGGGGGATCTCTCCGCGGAAATAACACGGTTGTGTGCTCCACTGAGCTCTTAAATATGCTAGATAATGATATCTGTGAAGTCTTGGGGATGTGCCACTATCGTCACATCTTCCGGGTTCGCGAACCAGGCTTTCCCACTATTTGCAGGCCAGCGTACTTGAAAACATCGACTGAGATCGGGTCCGTTCCCGGCATTTCCACTGGACAGTTATCTCACTGCTCTGGTTGTTTCAAAATGAGCAGGCGGACGATCCAGATCATTATTTTCATATACTTAAGAGAGTCGGTTGATGGCTTATTTGAGTATTGCCGAGGGGTGGTTTAGGACGCTCTGCAGGAGCGAGGTACAACGCTCCAGGACCTGTGGCATTTACGTCGGGAGTGTCGCTGCGTATTAGATCAGGGGCGGTGTAATTCAGCGTATGCTGCCGGGACTGTCAGGACATCGTGCCACATGCGCGCGACAAGCGGACGATCAAGGGCCTGTACCCCTGTTCACCCCTTTTTTGTGCTAATTTGCCACTCGCCCGTATATGACATTCCTTCCTGCCATATACCCGGCCGTTTCGAGAAGCCTCCTCACGTGTGCCGTCACTCGTAATCATTACACGTCCTATTTCCAACTAACCTTCTGTTTTGCATTCATAACATGTGGTTCCTTTGGTTTACGTAACCTTAACTCTTTGGATGGTAGCATGGCATATCATAATCAACAGAGGGTATGTCATATCGAGGTAGAGTTTGCCTTGAAAGTCGATGACAATCAAGTCTCTATCGGATGCATACACGACACAGGAATCGACTGTTATCGGGGGCCGTGTCAGACAGCACTTGCCGTTTTAGTCGTCCTACTTGCTTGGTCAAGCTAGGTGTCAAGGGAATACCTAATTTTGAAGAAGCAGTAAAATTAAAAGATGTGTCCATGCGTTGTCATGCGCAGATCCGCACGCAGCTGCCAGTCGATTTTCGTTAGCGCAAAAAACGAAACATCTCGAGAGGCATTTGTTGTCTGAAAGTCGTCTATTAGCACATATGCAACGTGGGCAGACCTATCAGAAACATTGTAGTATTTTTACTGGGAATGCCAAATCGCCATAGTACGATTTGTTTCATACTTAACATCGAGGTGTGTGTATTCAGTATATTTGATAGAAATAGGCTTACGCCTTTTAACTCTCTACTTGTACATAAAAATTTAGAAAATTAGCAACAACATAAAGAAATTCCAGCCACAAGTAAATGCAGGCATCGATGCACAAAAGGCATTGGTTTTCTATTGTTACAGTCGTATATTCTGCTTGTTGATGCATAATATATCTGTCAAACCGATATCTAAATGTCTCCACAGACTGAGACATTACAGTCGCCTCAGGCAGATTATTCCAGGATTCAACGACACGGTTGGGGAAAAAGTACTTTCTCACATCCAATCTTCTTTTGGAAACAAGTAGTTTGAAGAGATGTTCCCGGAGATTAGTTGTAGTGGCAAGTTGGAAGACGTCGCAACATCGGAGGGCGCAGTCCATGCCACGCACGATACGGAAAGTGTCCGCGCAACTGCCTATAACTCAGAGGATAGACATTGAAGCTATTCTGGCGGATCTCGTAAGACCGTGCACTTTGCCCCCTGCTAATTTTTTTGCTCGCCTCTGTACCCTTTCGAGTAAATCACAATCCTGCTGCTTCCATGTCCTCCAAGCCTGGATTGCAAATTCAAGTTGCAGCCTTACAAACGTGCCAAAGGCTGTGGCCAAGGATCCTTCATCTAAGACTGTGGATGCCCGTCTGATGACGTACAGCATGAAAATTGCGGCTTTGGCTGTCTAAGGAGATTGCGTAGCAGGCTTTAGAGTGTCTGTAATCCAGATTCCGAGATATTTCAGAGTTTCTGTTTCTCGAAGCGGCATCCGGTTCAAATAATATTGCCGCGTATTATGGGTCCGATTTCGATTCCTGAGATGTAGTATGGTACATTTTTTCAAATCGAAGGACAGGAGCCATCTGCGGGTCCATACCTCCAATTGATACAAATCTTCTTGAGAGTTGGTCTCGTCAGCAGCATCGTGGGTGACTTTCCAGATTTTAATATCATCGGCAAATATGACACAATCACAGTCCAACTCCTCTACACAATCCTTAATAAGCAATGGAAAGAGAGCCGGTTCGAGCACTAAGCCTTGTGGGACTCCAATATCTATGACTATGCGTCTTGACTGATATTGCTCCGCACATACAATTTGGGAACGACCGACGAAGAAATCACCGATCCATTCAAGAAGTTTGCCGCCAACACCCACAACTCTTAAGTTGTACGTGTGCAGTAACTTAAGTTACGCGGTTTTTGGGCAGGGCTGAAATTATCTTCGCGCATATATTGCCGCATTTTCTTTGTTTGTGTATTTGCACCTGTGACAAAAATGTGGTTTGGGGATGTCCTTCGGTGGGTTCGCTTATCGGACGTAGTAGGTCGCTCACTTGCTTGCGGACGTAGACTACACCCAGGGTCCATTTGCTGATGCCCAACTCCCACATGTGACTCCACGAAGCTAGGCTTTGTCAAGTGGCCACAACCCGGTAACCGCCTCGACCGGCTGTCTAAATCAGATGAGGGTATCCGTGGGTGCATTTCCCCACACGGTAATCTCGGCTCTGCTGGCCGGATGGATCATCGCATCGGCATCGCCGAGACGAGGCTCCGTCTGGAACACCGTAGGAGGCCACCAGGTAAGTAAGCCTCCAGGAAAGCGATCGCTGCTCTACTGTCATTGCTTTTGCTTGTTCGCGCTCGCCTACTCTGTGTCTGCCTAATTGTGTCTGCCTTTGTTAAAAACTATCGTTTTGTTGAGTCTTCTCTGTTGCGTCTACTTCTTGCTGTTCTGCCTGCTTGCTTTTGTCTGCTTGTTCGTGTCGGTCGTTACTCCAAGCTAAATGTCGTTCTGTTGATTGCGCCTGCTCGCCGTTTATATATTTCAGCAGCCGGATAATCTCGAGAATTACGAGAAAGCTCTGCACCCCACCTCTCTACCCTTCGCTCGTCCCCCTCCCCCCTTTCAAGTCCTATGGCGATGCCGTAGACAGTCAAATTCTTTCGTTCTCCAACTAAGGAAAGACGTATCCCATAGGGAATTT